AGTTCTCGACCGGGACCAAGACAAGGTGGAAGGAAGGTGGGTCAGAGTGCTGGGCATGTTGGAATTAGAAATAGTATGCATTGTTTCCATCTACGCTCCTAGCACTCCCCAGAAAAGAAGAACCTTTTTTGAGAAGATCGAACAGATCCCGGTTCCCGATATCCTGGTAATAATAACAGGGGATTTCAACGCCGTGCCAGACAAGTGGCTGGACCGTTGGAAAATCACACCCTCTACCGTGTGCAATGCGGAGGAGAACGAGGGGATCATAAGGGACTTGTGCACTACCCTCTCACTTTTTGACACCTACAGGCGAGGCCACCCGACCAAAAAGTCCTTCACGTGCTTGCGCAATAACAACCCTGATAGATTATCAAAATCTAGAATCGATCTTATTTTGGTTTCAGAAGACCTGAGTGGAGGACTAACCTTGGCGGCGATACGGCCAATTAGCCCGCACCCAGGTCTGGACCACAAGATGTGCGTGGCAGTCTGGACTTTCCGGAAACGACCAGATCAGGGAGCCAGTTATTTCAAACTCAACACTTCTCTGCTCCGGCTCAAATCCTTCCAAAAGTACGTACAACATACCTGGGCCTTCTGGAGAGACCAAAGATCTCAGCAAGAATCCCCAATTGCCTGGTTCAACAACCGTTTGTTCTTCCTGGCAAAAACATGCAACGAATACTCCAAGCATATAGCCGCACAACGATACCAACTGGAAATCCTAACAATGCAACATCTCATGGAAGCTGAACAAAAAAAGTCTTCGGAAGGGCAAGAAGTAGGGCAAGACGCGAGCCTAAAAGAACCACAGTCCAAGATACCAGATTTAAAAGCCCAACTCCTTAAGCCTGCACAATATCGTTGGCAAGGCGCCTAGATCAGGGCAAGATTATCGAATCTCTCGACCGAAGGAGTAATGGATGCCCAGTTTTTTAAAATGGCAGGACCTCGTTGCAAAAGAACTACAATTGAGGCACTCTACGAACCACGATCCATGGATTCGGATCCGGCCATTTCTACAGCAAGGTGTGTCAAAATAACGTACGATTTTTACAAAGACCTCTTTACCTCTCACATAGACAAATCTAGCCCACAGGACCACGAACGACATCTAATTGACTTTTTGAAACCAATGGAAAAATCCTTGACACCCGAACAGCGAGATTCCTTGGAAGCCCCAATCTCCAAACAGGAAATCTGGACCGCCCTTCTTCAAATGAAGGACGAAAAAGCGTCAGGGATTGATGGCTTCCCCAAAGAATTTTGGAAAACTACATGGGAATTTCTGGGTCGGGATATCATGGACTTTTATAAAGAGGTATGGGCTACAGGTGAGATGAGTGAAAGAGTGGGGCAGAGGGTATTAACCCTCCTATACAAAAAGGGGGATAAAATGGATATTAGGAACCACCGCCCCATTACCCTTCTCACAGTGGTCTACAAGATGTTGTCAAAAGCCTTAGCTAATAGAATGATCCCGGTAATGGAAGATATCATTCACCCTTTGCAAACCGGCTTCATGGAAAATAGGAACATTCAAGAGAACATCCTTCTAATCCATGAAGTACTCCAACTCACAAAACACTCTCGCCAGAACGCGACACTGGTCTTTATCGATTTTGAAAAAGCCTATGACCACGTAGACTGGCTGTTCTTGGACAAATGCCTAGAGAAAATGAATTTTGGACCACACTTCAGACGCTGGATACAGGTCCTGCATCAAAACGCAACCACGTGCATCCAGGTTAACAGATGCATAACGCCACCCCTGCGTCTGGAACGTTTTGTCTGCCAAGGGGAACCGATCGCCCCCTTCCTCTTTCTGGTCATTATGAACGCACTCGCCGCTAACCTCCGGGCAAACAAAAACATTACCAAAATTCGAATCACGCACATCCCAAAAGAGGCTATCCCGGTATGCTCCCTCTTTGCGGATGATCTCACCATCCTGGCGGAAGCCACTCATAGCAACATGGAGGAAATCCAGCGACTGATGGAGAAATTTGCTAAGATTTTTGATATGACAGTCAACTAGGGAAGCAAGACGCAGGGATGGTGGATCCACTCCCAAGGGGGGCGCCCACTTGAGTCACCTAGAATCAAATGGATACCACTGGAATCACCTCTAAGAATCCTTGGTGTTGCCATGACCGCCGAGGGTCGGCCACCGACCAACGACGAATGAATCTGTAATCCGGCTAGGCAAAAACTCAAAAACTGGAGAAATAAACACACATCTGTTTTCGGCCGCGCGTTAGTAATCAACAACGCGTTATTCGCTTCCGTATGGTACAAGTCGCTATTGTGGCCACTAAGCAAAACAGCCTTAACAAACCTGAAGAGAAAGGCGACCGCTTTCTTATGGAGGGGGGATGGCGAGCTCGACAACATGATCAACCGCGTGGCGTGGGATTCCATTATACAACCTAAGGCAGGGGGAGGCCTAGGAATAATCGACCCGGCCACGCAAGTGCAAGCAATACGTCTTAAATGGATTAAAAAGCTCATTTTTACCCCCCAGAGTCCATGGTGCGTACTGGCGCTGGAACATTTGGCCCGATTGGCCCCAGAAACCCCCCATTCCATTCACCCTTTGACATGGCTAAAGGACCGTTTTTGGACAGTGCCACGAAAGTTCCCCAGAGCAAGGGATGGGCGAGATGGAGACAACTGTATTTTAGACAGTTTTTGGCCCTCCCTATTGGAAACCTGGCGTAGGCTCCCGCTTCCAGACAGACCATACCCCGATCACTGGGAGGAAATCCACCGCCAACCCTTGTTCGGGAACCGCCAAGTAACTGACCCAAATCGTTGTATCAGGTCAAGCTCTGCCTTGCCCTGGAAGAGTTGGGTAAAAAGAGGGGTGCTCAGGGTGGGGGACCTTTGGGATGACGACAAAAAGGAGTGGAAAACAGAAGACGAAATGCAAGAAACCCTGTTATACTGCCATCACGTGAGGAAGCATTTGGGAGACCTAATTGACGCTATCCCGCTGGCATGGTATCAAACCCTTAAGCAAGGCTCCACCTTAAAGGAAGACGACTGGGTTGCCAACAAGGAGCCTCCCCAGAGGATAGGGCAAATCCACATGGTCTCATCCCAGGCGGTCTTAGTCGAACACTATACAATCACTGGAACCAACACCCTCCAAGGCAACAAAGCCCCTCTCGTATGGAAAGAAAAAACATCAGTGTATAGAGTGAGCGTTTTAGAAGAGAAAAGGCAGAGGGTGGTGTTCCAACCTTTCAAACCAATCCAGGACCTGCCTCTGGATCCGGATGAATGGTCTTGATAACTCCACCACAGGGTAGGTCCCAAAGTAGGACGCATCAACCTACGCCAATTGTCAATCAAATTAGCCTATAAAATGCTTCGACCAAAGAGACAGCTGAGAGACGTCATTAATGATAGATGGGCCAGACACTTGAATGTAGATCGCTCCCTCTTGGCCCCAATCAAATGGTTCCAGGAACAGAAGGCAAGACCCATGAAAATCACTTCTCTACAGTGGCAGATCGCCCACAGATGTCTGCCAACCAATGATTGGTTGACAAACCGCACTAACTTAGAGCAAAAGGGCCTACTGCTCCCTTGGTGCCAGCGGTGTCACAACCTCTTCCCCTTCCACAAAAGGGCGGAAACCATTGAACACATCTTCCTACAATGCCCGATCGCCCAATTCATATGGAGGTGGTGGGACCGCATATGGAGAAAAATGGAACTCACATCCCCATGGCCCTGGTCTTGGCAAGCCATACTGGCAGGCCACTGACCACATGCAGAGGCCGCCACGCCCTTCGTAGAGAATATGTATAAACTTGGAAGGAGGGCAGTGTTGTGGGCACTTTGGTGGCAAAGATGTACGTTGGCTAGGGATAAAGTGAGGGTAGAGGTGCCAAAAATCACCGAACAAATTCAGCAGCAGATACACTTCGAACTCTCACAAAAATGGCGGGTCACCAAATCACAACTAGACCTTTTTAAACAAGAAGGAGACGTCAGGAGAAGGATTACATCATTTTGCACAGATTGGGTGGGAAGGGAGAGAGAAGGATGGATTGCAAAAGTAGAATGGAGTGGAGATGGGGGGGGGGAACAGAGTGATCTGGAGGAAATGAGAGACTATCGCTTAATTTTTAAAGACTGGATGATCATAGAACCCTCCTTTCCGCCCCCCCCCCTGATGATTTTCCTGACCCCTTCCCACCCCACGCCCTTTCCCTGGCAGAGATCCTGTCCTAAATTGACATAAACCGGCAACTTACTCTACTTAACCCCCCTCTTTTTTCATATGAGGAACTCTTCCCTAGAGCCCCCCAGGGAGCGTTTGCTCCCAACTAAACAAATGAATATTGCTTCCTGAAGTGGTATCAGAGCTTAGGGAGACATCTGGCGCCCCCTTGGGGGTGAAGAGATATGGGAAGCAAGGGCTACATTACTAGGATCTATACACACCTGCTCAATAAATCCCCTGGAGACAGGCAATCAATGTTGGCAGGTCCCACAATCAGTGTCCCCAGACATCCTCATTTTCTGTATAAGGGACGCTGGACCCGTTTTCCAGCAGGTGTTGCTCCCCACCAATAGATGGAGCC